CCTGGGGCGGGGGGTGTTTTCGCTTTCGCTGTCCCGAGAGCCCGATGGGTAACCCTGTGGCCACGCCGGGCGCGGGGACTCCGTAAGGAAGTTGGCATCCAGGCGGGCCCCACCACCCTCACCTCGCCCCTGCCCGGCACACGACGCGGCCCCCCGCGGGCGCACAGACCCCTCTGCGCTGTGTCCTCGCAGCTGGGACACTCTGGGTGCCTGGTGGCGGGGAGCTGGGAGCCGCCCGGGCCCCGGGGTGCAAGTTGCCCTCGAGGGGGAGGTATCCAGTGGAGAGGCCCCGCAGGCGGCACCGGGACACGTTTCCAAACATCCGCGCACGGCCTCGGTCTCCCTACGAGCTTGGCCTCTCGGGCCCCTTGGGTTCCTGGTCTTTCTCGTCACTTTGGTCCGCTCCGCGCCGGGGTCCCTGTCCTCCGACGTCCCAGGGCTGCGCTGGGCAGCTCAGGGGTCGGGGGAGCGTCTCTGGGCAGCCCCTCGGGATTGCGAGGTCTGGGGCCTTGATCAGCGTGTCTTCCGGGTATCGCCCCTGGGCCCCCAGCTCAGAGGGCTCTGGGACTGTCCCCCCTTTCTCTCCCGAGTCAGTGGACGCCTCTCCTGCTCTTGGGGGGTGCTGGGGGCGGTAGAGCAGCGTCCGGGCGTGCGTTAGTGGGTGTGTGGTCGGAGCCGACGTGCGTTTCCACACACGTGCTCTGAGCTCGAGGTGGAGCGGCCGCCACACGGCCATGCAGGGACACCTAGACGCCTGGCCCTGGCGAGAGGTGTCGTGCGCTGTCGTTGAAGGAGTGCCGAGGTCGGCGGCGGCGGAGGCGCGCGCGCGCGGGGCGGGAGCTGGAGGGGTGGTGGTGGTTGTGTGTTTTGTTTTGCGAGCTCGGAGCCCTGGCCTTGGTCTGGTTGTGACCCGAATTGGGCTGCAGGCCCTCCCCCGGCCCGCACTTCCTTTCTGCATCGTCGATAAGCAAATATCGCTGCACGCTCGCCATCGCTTGCAATCCGATAGCTTTTGTTTTGGTGGTGTTGGCTATGTGGGGACGGAGCGAGAGAGAACTCCCCACCGTGTGTGCAGGCGGGAGAAAGAAAGGGAGATTTATGCGTGTCCCAAACAAAACACAACCAAAAAAGAAAGAAAGAAAGAGGAAAAAAGAAAAGAAAAGCGTGGCTTACTGGTACAATCGGGAGGGTAGGGTAAATTGGAATAGGATTAAAAGTGGAAACGCAGTCGGGGAACGGGCTGGGAACGGGCGAGGGCGTGGGGGTGAGTAATGGTTGCCCAGGGTATGCAGGTGGTAAAATGAACACGACTAAACCCCAAGGAGGAGAAGGAGGAGGAGGAAGAGGAGGCAGCCGAGGAGGCCGGCTGCTGCTTCACGGGGGCAGTTCCGAAAGGCTGACTCTATAAACAAATCCTTCTTGAAATGTCTCGGAAGAAAGGGGTCTGGGCTGGAGCGAGAAGCAGGTCTTTATACATGAGCGTGTTTACTGCGTGGAGTAAATTGTCACCTGGGGCTGGGCTTCCATACCTCTTGGCTTTTTTTTTTTTTTTTTTTTTTTTCTTGCCCTGTGGGTTTTTTTTTTTTTTTTTTTTTTTCTGCTTTGTTTTCTAAACTTTGAGCACACCGGATTGGTGGAAAGGCTTCCGAGAGAGTCCCTTCCATCAGAGAGTCTGGGTGATATGTGGGGTACAGAGGAGGACGTCTAGAGCCTTTCAAAGCTGAAGACAGCTTAGAGCACCCCGGAGAGTTCATCCTCCGTGTGCCGGTGGCATGCATGGCATTCTGTTGCTTCTTTCGTCTGATTGTTTTCTAGGTTCTGAAATTCACAACCATAACAAGGAGGACCTTTGTTCCTGCGTTTTAAAAGTAGGGTGTCTTGCCAGTGGGGAGCATTCTTCCTGAAGAAGATTCTTTGTAGGAAGCGGCTCTGTTTTGAGATCTCCCCCACCCCCTTCCGTAGCAGGGGGAGGGTCATTTAATGTACATTGATGGTCTCCTGATAGAAAGCTTTTCCCCCAGGGAAGGCTTTAGCATGGTAGATGTCTTCAAAGTTGCTAGCTCGCCACAAGGCACCCCAAATCCTCACGTTCCTTTGAATTCCTGACTCAGTTCCTACCCCTCTCTCTCCATCTCTGAAATGTGGAGGAGTTAGTGATGCACCTGTGAACATGCATTGACGTTTTAGTCCAAAAGATGCTTTATCAGAGAACCCAGATAGAAATAAGCTAGACCGAGTCTCCCTGAGACATGGGGGGGGGGGGACAGTCCCATGACTGTCTCGCAGTGGAGTCCTGCAGTTCGGGGGCCCCGTGGATTCCATGGTAGGTATTGTGCTGGGGTATTATTTTAGGGATTTAGTGTTCAGTTTCCAACTGTCTCAGCTGTAGGGAGGGTGTCTTAGCTTTACCTTGGAACGTGGAGACGTTTCTGAAGCACGGACAGTCCTGTCTGTTTTCTATGAACGGCATTAAGAACGGAGCAGCTAAATATGGGAGGTTGAGGAGTCCCTGTGCTAACCAGATCATCCACGGCTGTCTTTTTAAAAAATCAGCCCGCCCTTGCCACTTCGTTGTGGCAACGTCCTTAAAAGGAATCCGAGATCTTTTGGCCATAGGGGACAAGAACATCCTATCACCACCAAAATAGAGGTATGTGAGATGTTGGTGTTTAAAGAAAGGAGTGTTTTATTACCAGAAGGAGAACCCACAAGAAGAACGTTTGGAAAAGACCTAAATAGCAAATTATAGTTTAGACTCTTCCAGAGAGAAACAGCAAGTAAACAGTCTTTTGTGGAGGGGCGTGGGGTGCGGGGTCGAGATGTGACGTTTCAAAGGTCGTTTGTGTGATGTGTCAAAAGGTTTCGAGGAGTCCAACACAAGCCATGCGCCTAGGTTGACGCACTAAGGCTTCAGCATATTACAAAACGAGTGAAAGAAGCCAGGCTCAGAAGACCACAGATTGTATGATCCCATTTATGTGAAATGTCTAGGATAAGCAAAGCCAGAGAATGAAAGTAACAGAGTCATGATTGTCAGGGAAGGGGGCTGTAACTGCTAATGGGTACAGAGTTTCTTTTTGGGGCAATGAAAATGTTCTAAACTTAGCTTGTGGCGTTGGTTACACAATGCAGAATGTACTTAAAAAGCCTATGGGTTTGAACTCTTGAAATTGGTTACTTTTATAGTTTGTGAGTGATAGCTTAATCAATCCGTTTTGCTTTTTTTTTTTTTTTTTGAAGTATGCTAGGGTTGAAAAGAATCCATCTCCCTTTAGACACAAAAAGTAGATTTGCGGTATGAAGTCCATCGGTCCTGCGTGCGAGTGTCCCTCGCTCTTTATTTTTCCCATTCATAAACGTATCAGATCCGTGAATTCATGGTAGTGTAGCAGACTCATCATTTGAAGCCATTGCTATGAAGACTCAATGCTAGAGGAGAAATGGAGAAGCAAAGAAAAATAGAAAAAAGGAATCTTGGCTGTACATAGCTTGATTTAAGGATTAAGTTAAATAACTTGAGTTAAGGATTGGGTTAAAGTTAGTTTTTTTTTTTTTTTTGGAGAGGTTTTTGCTATAGGGCACGTGCGCTCGCCAGACAGACAGAGAGAGACAGACAGAAAGCGAGAAATCACCCCCCAGGGGGGATGGCCACGCCGCAATCCCTTCTCCATTCTCCTCTTGGGATCTTGGGCACGCATGCACACGCGTGTGAGTTTTAAGCCACCGGGTCCAGGACGCGAACTGTGGTCGACTACGTGGGAGTCCAGCGACATAGCCATTACGCTAACTGCTGGTTCCAAGTTAGTTTTTTTAAAATAATTATTTTATTGAATTGCATTTATGTGTTTAATTTTAAAATTTCACCAGAGAGGAACAGAGAGAGACAGACAGACAGAGAGGGAGAGAGAGAGAAAGTGAGAAAGCAAGTGTCCAGGTCCAGGGCTTGAACCTTGAACCATGATCAGCCATGTGGTAGTCCAGTGCCCTTAACCACCATGCCACCCACTGGCCCCAAAGTTAGTTGTGGTTTTTTTTTTTTTTGTGTGTGTGTGTGTGTGCTAGGGAAACTCAGATTTTTGACAGTAAAATGTTCAACGGACTCTGAAATGATGCTAATCTTTTCAAGAGAGAGTGTGAGATGAGATTGTCTTGCTGTTTGTATTTCTAGATTTATTACAAATGTTTTCCAACAAAGAAACAAGATGTTTGAAGATGGTAAACAACTTCTACTCTCTTATTTCATATGCCATATTAACCACAAATGGTAGGGAGGCTGGAAGACGAGCTGTTTATTTTCTTTTTTAAAAATACTTTATTTAACTTTATTTATTTGTTTATTTTAATTTGACCACAGAAGGACAGAATGAGACAGAGAGAGGGAGAGAGAGAGGGAAAGTGAGAAAGCAAGCCACCAGGTCCAAAACTTGAACCTCGGTCAGCTGTGTGGAAGTCCAGTGACTTTAAACACCATGCCACCCTGCCAGCCCTTGAACTGTTTATTTTTATACATTACTATATCTTTTTCTCTTGTCATCTATGTTATTTCTTTCCTTTTAAAAAATTTTTGGAGAGTTTTTTGCTAGGGGGCTTGTGCGTTCGCCAGAGAGACAGAGACAGAGAGACAGAAAGTGAGAAATCACCCCCGGGGGGAATGGCCACACCACAATCCCTTCTCCTCCATTCTCCTCTCCAGATCGTGGGCACGCATGCACACACGTGGCGTGGGTTTAAGCCACCGGGTCTGGGACTCGAACCGCTCAACTACATGGGGGTCCAGCGACATAGCCATTACGCCAACTGCTGGTCCCGCCTATGCTATTTTTTAATAGCTGCAAATTGTGAGCCAGAGGAGGACTTGGTAGAATGCAGAAGTCATTTTAGGCATACAGTAACTTTTATAAAACATTCAAGTTTCTCTCAACAAAAGGCTTTAAAATCCGGCAGAGGCATTTTTGTTTTGAAACTGTTCTGTGCCTTTGTCCAAATTTACCTTGGCATTTCCATAGGAAAAGACCCAGAGGATAATTGTTTACATTTGCTTTTGATCTTTGTCTAAGACTTGTTTACTAATAAAATTGTTTCCTTCCCTTCCCTGCCTTGCAAGATCAGGGCAATAATGAAATCAACTGTATCCTTTTCACTTGTTGCATTCCAGTTTTGCCAAGGGGAGCCCTCAAGGGATGGTGGTTTCCTTTTTAATCTGGTTTCATTTGTTTGTAAGAATGTTCTATATGAAGTAACAAAATCCAGCCAGTGTTTATGGGGAACCTACTGTATGAAAGCTCACCTTGTGTTAGGCGGTGCACGAACCTACGAAGAAAG